GTCCCCAGTACTGGGATTAAAGGCGTGCGCCACTATGCCCAGCTGTTTCATTTTTTTTTTATCACCTTTAACTTTTTTTTTTTTTATCACCCTTAACGCCTGCTCTATCCCTTCTTACTCCAACGCCCGCCTTCTCCTTGGGTCTCTGTTTAAATGTTTCGTTCCTCAAAGGCTTTTACACTGTGTCAAAGCCTAAAGGACTACCTAACTAACACACTCTTGACTTTACCATCTCAAAGTTTACCCTTAAGTTATCACTGGATATTTGGGTGATTCTCTGGCCAGTGGTTACTCCCCTACTCATCCCTAAGACCAAGAGATGCTGCAGGCCTTGCTTCCCACTGGTACCTGCAGTGTAGGGGCCTCCAGGAAGGGACATTTAAGTAAAGATTTAAAGGAAAGGTAGACAGACAGCAACAAGGGAAGAATGAGGTAATGTCAACTAAATTATGCAAATGCTATAAATTCTACCTTCACATGTTTTTGAGGGTGAAGGTCAAGTGGGAATTCAAGACTATTTATTAAGTTAATGATTGGTAATTCAAGTCGGGCTTTATTTTTCAATTCTCTTTAAAAAATAAATAATATGCTTCTCCCCTTTCCTACAAAGGGGGAGTAGGGATGGGACAAAACTCCTCTGGTAAACAACCAGAGCCATACATGAGGTTCTTCCAGCAGCGTTCCCCATGCTAATCAGCTACACGGCTGGCCTGTGGTCCTGGTCTATCAGCAAGAAACAAACCTGAACCTCTGAATGTTCCTGTCTGCTACAGGATAGAATTTCCAGATCACAGGAAAGGAAAACCCAGGCAAGTTTTGGTGGTCTTCTCTGAACAGAGAAGACAAATACAAAACTCTACTAAGTATATTGTTTATAGGGTAGAGTATCAAAGAGGAGGAAGATATACTAAGAGCTCATTCTTAGACCCAAATACTAAATCCCTTTATCTAAGTACTGATTACAGGCTAAAATTCTATGGGGGTGGAGAAGAACAACACGCTGAGGTACCACAAGCTGAACAACTTCAAATGCTAAAGAAAATCTGAGAACATTTTAGGCTTTTACTCTTACCCGGAGTATAACAGCCTAATGGATCCTATCAGCAAGTCTCAGCTAACCCTAGAGCAGACCAATTATACCCATGCTAACAAAACTCAGAACCAAGTATACAAAATCAGATTGGGAGCCAGTAGCCCAGCTGCCTGTGTTGCAATATTCAACACTCCTAATGCTAGCAACGGTATTTATATTGCCTAACAGTCAGTGAAAAATTAAATAGGCACATGAAAAAGAAGCAATGAAATCCGGTCTACAATCAAGAGAATTGTCAACCAATGGGAACAGCTGACAAAACTGACATGTAAGGTTTCTAAAACCTTGCTGCAATGTGGGGTTGAAGTGATGGCTCAGTGGCTAAGAGCACTTATGGATCTTCAAGGGGACCCAGATTTGGTCCTAGTGCCCACGCCAAGTGGCTCACAAACACCTGCAACTTCAGCTGCAAGGGACCTAGCACCCCCTTCTGACCTCCATGGCATCCACACACATGTGGAATACACTCATCGAAACAGACACATATCCACATAAATAAAAAATAAAATAGATTTTAGTGGTTATTATAGCTATTATATGTGCATATTTAAAAAACATAAGCCTGACTGAGAAATAAAGCCATAAAAGAGAAAGGCTGCCATAGAACTGAAAAGCAACATACAAAATAGGGTATGTTTGACCTTACTGCAGATCAGCCACTAAAAGACCTGTGAATCTGAAAACACAATGCTGTACTCTATAATCACAAAGTGAGGACAGGAAAATGTGAATAGTATTCAGCGCAAAGATGAAGTATCGAGTGTCTACTGTGTGCCTTCAGTCTCAAAGAGAAAAGCACACAAGAGCTGTTCACACAAGTGTATATATAAAGAATTTGACCCAGAACTTCAATTTGATAAAAATTAGAAATTTTCAGAACCATAAACCCCAATAGATCACAAGGATGACGCAGACAAAATATCATAGTTAAATTGCAAAACATCTGTCACAAGGAAAAAACATGACAACCACCAGAGAAAATAGGGAACACTGATAAGAAATACCACAGATGTATCATCCGAGGCAATCAGGATAGGAGATATGAAATGACATCTCTAGTGGTAAAATAAAATCCCCTCTGACCTAAAAAGGCAAATACAATGAAAATATCTTTGTAATAAACATTCAAACAAAAGTTGAGTCTACAAAGAAATGCTGGAATTGACAAGCATATAAATTTAAGACTTTCTCACCACACAAAAAGTTGTTCTGGGCTGGAAAGGTTGCTCAGTGAATAAAGACCCTTGCCAAAACAGCTGGAGCATCTGAGTTCAATCCCAGGGATCCACATGCTGGGAGAAGATTATTAATCTACACACACTGATCTCTGGTCTCTACAAACGTATTATGGCACAGGCTCTGACACACACACACACACAAACACACACACTTAATTTCAATAAGTAAATAAATATATAAAATATTCAAAGATAATTATTTAAAGCAAAAATGATGACAATCACTTTTGTAAGGTCCAGAACATACGAACATGTAAAGAGGCACGAGTAGAGAACACAGGACAGGAAGGAAGCCATGGATGTATATTGTTATGGGTTCATGTTATTTTCATGTTCATAGCATAAACCCTGAACCAAAAGACAACAAAAAAGATGAGCAGTGAACAAAACAAACAAACAAACAAGGAATAATTACCTCTTATGAAAACTTTGCTCTTTGAGGAAATTGTTAAATGTTCACAAATAAAACATTTTCTCACCGCAAAAAAAAAAAAAAAAAAGAACAGTGAGTAAAGCCAATTACAGAAATTACATACTCAGTGCAAAAGAAGAAAAAGGAAATCAGCCAATGGGGTTCATGCCTGCAAACTCAGCATTCTGGGGGCTAAAGCAGGATTATCATAAATTTGAGGCCAATTTGGGGATTACATAGAAAGCCATAATGTTGAGAAATAATTGTGGGAGTGGGGAAAATAAGAAATAGATGAGAAAAAGGAATTAGGGTGGTAGAAATATATCTAATTTTGTTTAAAAGCACACCAAAAGTAAAGAATCAACACAGTACATCTGACTTCTGTGTTCTTCTATTCATTCCCATCCGTATTAAACGGCAGAGACTATTGATGTATAAAACCATGGCCTGCTATAAGCTGCTGTAGCAAATGACTATTAAATAACTGAGACACACAGCACTCGGGAGGCAGAGGCAGGCGGATCTCTGGGAGTTCGAGGCCAGCCTGGTCTACAAGAGCTAGTTCCAGGACAGGAACCAAAAGGCTACAGAGAAACCCTGTGTCAAAAATCCAAAAAACAAAAACAAAAACAAAAAGAAAAAGAAAACCTGAGACCCAGACAGGTTAAAAGAAAAAGCACTGGGCAGGGTAGGCATCACAGCACCCTTCTTTAGTCTTAGCATTTGGGAGCTTAAAGCAGGTAGATCTCTGTTAGTTCGAGGCCAGCCAATGCTACATAGTGATACCCTATATCACTATGTAATATATAAATATATATATAAACTAACTAAATAAATAAATAAAATAAAAGTCAAAACATAGCAAACACATGGGGGAGGGGCTTGTATTAATGCCAATCTCAAGAACAACAAACTTACTTCGTCAACGTCGGAAAAATAGACTTTGGGAATGAGAGGTCAATAAAACCACTTCATAATGATGATAGCCAATTCAGCAGAAAGTCGTAACTGTCCAAAAACTACTTACTCAACTTCAAAATAGAGGGAAACAGCTGGAACATTATAGCTCAATGGCAGAGCTCTTGCTTGGCAGACATGAGGTCCTAGGTTCAATTCTCAGCACATCTAAAAAAAAATAAGAAAGATTGTTTATGAAGAACAATATTGAAATTCACAATTTTAGGTGGAAAAATAATGGTAGTACGTTCCCCTCAGTACTTCACAGAAAAAAAAAATATGGTTAAAGATCTAGCTAGCTTTACTATACCGCCGGCCAACTTGGCCTGATGGAATACTACATCCAATAAAAACAGAACTTACTTTGCAAACACAAAAGCAACATCTGCTGATGTAGATCACATGCCGGACCACAGAACGTGTCTGTGCGTTTGAAAGCCTTTTATTCATGCCGAGCGTGTCCTGTGTCCTCTGCCAAAAGTACAGTTAAAATAAAGGCAACAGCAAACAGGATCTGATAGAATCTCCAAATATTCCAAAATTAGATCGCACGCTTTTGAATATCTCATTAGTCTAAGGAAAACACAGGTCAGGCTCTCTGTTCTTCTGAACACATTCTACAATGAATAGACTTAAGTTGCCAAAAAAAAAATGCCAATCTTTAAACAACATGGTTCATATCTAAGTCACTTTAGCACACTGTCCATTACTAATTCTAGAAGCTGCTCACTTCACTGCCAGCTTGCCAGTCCAGCAAGTATTAGGCAAACAACAGATGTGTATTCTAAGTTGGAACCATTCCCACCAGCTCTTCTGAAGCCTGATGGCCACTGGCTGCGAGTCGTCTCCAACTCAGCTCACACGCATACCGTTCTAAAGATGTTTTTTTCTTTCTTTCCAATAAACTTACAGGATGCCTGCTCTGTTTGATGCTTAGTGCCGTCAGCCTGAGGAGACCTAGAGTCCCTTGGGAGATGGTCCTCTGGGTGTGCCTCTGGGAGATGCTCTTGATTTCACTGACTGATGTGGGAAAATGCCTCTGCTCTGGGCAGCATCATGCCTGGCTGGGATCCTGGATTGGATAAATGAGGAAAGAGAGCCGAGCAGCAGCATGGATTCCTCTCCTTTGCTTTCTGATTTGGATGTGATGTGGCCAGTTGTGCCCAGCTCCTTCTGCCTCAACTTCCCCACGGTGAGGGATGATGCTTGTACTGTGACCTAAAATAAACTCTTTAAGTTGTTTTTGTCTGTTTTATCCCAGGAACAGAAAAGCAATCAAGACATAAATTTCATTCTAAGAAGTACAAAGCACTGTTCAAATGACTTCTGGTAAGATTTTAATTGTGTGAATATATACATAACACAAGAGTTGGCATTTCACAATTTTTTTTTTGTTTGTTTGTTTTTCAAGATAGGGTTTCTCCGTGTAGCTTTGGAGCCTGTCCTGGAACTCTCTCTGTAAACCAGGCTAGCCTCAAACTCATAGAGATCTGCCTGCCTCTTCCTCCTTAGCGTTGGGATTAAAGGCATGCACCACCACTGCCAGGCTGCATTTCACAGTCTTTAAGTATAGTATGAACACATTTCCACAGAGTAGAACTGCCACTCCCATCGGCCTTCTGAACTTTTTAGTTTTCCCAAACGTATTCACAGACAAATATTTACAAAGAAGCAAACACTGTAATGTGCATATTATTTTAAATTATAGGAAACTTTAAAGTATCAGTTTCATCATTTGTGAAATTGCCTACACATTTATAACTTACAGTGAGACTCTTTCGCTTGACAGTGAGAATTTTTAATAGTATGGTAAAATCTTTTTAAAGGTCCCAGAAAATTTTCGATTTTTCCCTCTTGCTATTAAGATCACTTGGCACGCTGCGAATTTGCATCCTCATTTTCATGACCCCTCAGTCGCATGTGAAGCAAGGGCTGCTGGTAAATAAAACAGGGTGCGGTGCAGCAGAAGCAGCCCTTAAACATTGCAGCATCACAGGCTTTCATGCTAGAACAGACAAAAAGCTGGAAAGGTCACCTAAAGTCAGCAATGGTGGTACCGGTAGGAAGCAGGCAGGCAAGGGGACAGTAGTTAACGGCCAAGCCTCAGTAGGCTTCCGGGGTTCTCAGCCAGGCTGGGCTACATGAAATTCTGTCTCAAAAACCAAATAAATAAATAAGTTAGTAAACAAAACAATACAAGATTGTTCAAGACATTTCAGGTTCCCTATCCTCAGCTGCCCAAGGAACTAACTGGGGACATCGCCTTGGGCTCCTGGGAGCCACTCTAGGTTCAAGTCTCTTGCCAACCCTAAGGTGGCTCCCTTAACTAAAATTTGTGCTTCCCTGCTCCCCTATCCAACCTTCCTTTATCCCAATCTTCCTGTTTCCCCAAGTTTCCCGTCCTCCCCTTCTCACTTTTCTCTCCCCATATCCCGTTACCCCCATCTCACCCCATCCCCAAGATCCCAATTTTTTCCCCCGCAATTTTGTCTACTTCCCATAGCCAGGAGGATAGCTATATGGTTTTTTTTTTTGGGGGGGGGTTCACCTTCTTACTTAGCTTCTTTAGGATCACCAATTATAGACTCCGTGACTTTTATTTATGGCTAGAAACCAATTATGAGTGAGTACATTCCATGTTCATTTTTTGGGTCTGGGTTACCTCACTCAGGATAGTGTTTTCTATTTCCATCCATTTGCACGCAAAATTCGAGAAGCCATTGTTTTTCACCGCAGAGTAGTACTCTAATGTGTATGTATTCCACACTTTCTTCATCCATTCTTCCATTGAAGGACATCTAGGTTGTTTCCAGGTTCTGGCTATTACAAATAATACTGCTATGAACATAGTTGAACAAATGCTTTTGTCATATGATAGGGCATCTCTTGGGTATATTCCCAACCTGAAATGACCCTATCCTATAGCAATACTGACGAATATCTTGCATATGACCATAGAACCTTCATCTGGTGATGGATGGAGATAGAGACAGAGACCCACACTGGAGCACCGGACTGAGCTCCCAAGGTCCCAGTGAGGAGCGGACGGAGGGAGAACACGAGCAAGGATGTCAGGACCACGAGAGGTGCACCCACCCACTGAGACAGTGGGGCTGATTTATTGGGAGCTCACCAAGGCCAGCTGGACTGGGACTGAAAAAGCATGGGATAAAACCGGACTCTCTGAACATGGCGGACAATGAGGGCTGCTGAGAAGCCAAAGACAATGGCACTAGGTTTTGTTCCTACTTCATGTTCTGGCTTCATGAGAGCCTAGCCAGCTTGGATGCTCACCTTTCTAGACATGGACGGAGGGTGGAGGACCTTGGACTGCTCTTTGGACTGGAGAGGGAGGGGGAGAGGAGTGGGGGGAGGGGTAGAAGGGTGGGAGGAGGGGGAGGGAAATGGGAGGCTGGGAGGAGGCGGAAACTTTTTTTCCCCTTTTTCTCAATAAAAAAAATTTTTTTAAAAAAAGATTGTTTAAGACAGGTTTTCGCTGGGTGGTGGGGGTGCACTCCTTTAATTCCAGCACCTGGAAGGCAGAGGCAGGCGGATCTCTATGATTTCGAGGCCAGTGTGGTCTACAAGAACTAGTTCCAGGACAGACTCCAAAGCTACAGAGAAAACCTGTCTCAACAAATAAATAAATAAATAAATAAATAAATAAATAAATAAATAAAAATAAATAAATAAAAATAAATAAATAAATAAAAATAAATAAAATAAATAAATAACAAAAGACAGATTTTTCACTCTGTGTAGCTCAAACTAGCCTCGGAATTACTAGATAGCCAATAGCAATCTTCTTGCGTCTTAAGTGCTGTGATCCCTGCTTGAGCCATCCTGCCTGGTGTTTTTCTCTAACTCTGAATTGTTGGATATGGAGAGTACTGGCAGAGGGGTCAAAGAGGGGCTGTTTACAGCCGCGCATGCTCGCAGTTCTGCAAGAGAGCGCTCCTGTGTTATGCAGTGGTGTGTGCACCCCTGTTTGGTACCCCACTGGGTCACTGGGGAAAGAAGAACTCCTTCTGCTTGCTTCTCCGAACTTTTTTGCTTCCCAGCAGGAAGAACTTTCTTTATAACTATTCAACAACACAGAAATTCAGCAAAAATGAGGGGAAATTGCAACCAGCTGTGTTCTCCTCTGTCTCAAATGCATCTCCACATACGGTTGCTGAGAGAGCGCATATTTTCTGTTTCAACCTAATTTACAACTGAACGCTGCAGGCTGCAACAGAACCCCCTTCTCCAGGTTCCTTAACAACAAGCCACCTACTTCCTCAGGGTTTTTTTTTTCCAGGAATTGGGCAATTGATGGGCAATAGTGTCTTGCCCCTCCCACCACACACACACACACACACACACACACACACACACACACACACACACACTGAGGCTTTACTTCCTGGGGGAATTCAGATCCGGTCTAAACTAGTTGCAGATGTCTGGCAGTTCCTCCATAGCCCACAGCCAGAGAGGATGTGGGGCTGCCACTAGCAACCAGAAGCAACTAAGAGGCAGAGGGCCTCATAAACCTTCCCTGTAGGTGTCCTGTGGTTTGTTACTTTGAAAGAAGGAACAGGCTTCATTACGTTTCCTCAGTCATCTCTCCTAGGCCTGGCCCTCGCTTGGCTCAGCAGTACCACGCAGAATGCAGGGCAGAGACTGCCCCGCCGTGCGCTCTGCCACGCAATATCATCAGTGCTTTCTGCTGCTGCGGTCCGGGTGAGATGGGGGCATGGCTGTGGGCGTGGCCTTCCTGACACCCTTTCAGTTTTGCGGCTGCGCGTTTTTTCCCTGCAGTACTGCGTGCAAAGCCAGAAGACACCCACCTGCTCCTGGTGGAGCGCTTCTTCACAAGTCAGTGTTTAAAGTATGGTACACCAAGGCTGCACTCGGGAAGGCTCTCTTGCTGGGTATGTGATGAAGCACCCAACTTCTGGGGGCTAGAGACGCCTAAATCAATAGTTGTACCGAACTAACAGAGGAGGACAGAGAACAGCTGTTCTTTTGATACGTACAATATGAACACTCACATTAATAGTCTAATAATAATTCTCCAAATAAAAAAAAAGTTATAAGCTGTTCATCCCAAGTTCCAAGTTGAGGGTAAGAAAGAGTTCCTGGGGAAAACACTGGCTTCCTGGGCTGAGTCGTGCCTACAGTCACGGTGTGTCTACCACACTGTTGGACTGAGGAACCCCACGGCCTGAGCAACAGAGAGGTCTGGACTAAATGAGCGCTAGCCCAAGCCAGGATCTGAGTCTGACTTCATGGGCCTCTGAGTTGCCCATCCAACCCTACCTGCTTCAGTCGCTTCCAGCTACCTCGCACAAGCCCTTCACGCGACTGGCTAAAAGGATGCAGAAACGTGGCTACCACATCAAATGATTCCAAACACGTGAACTCTAAATTATTTTCATCTAAAACATAAATGTCTCCTTTCATGCCAGCAGAATCTACTTTGCTTTCAAAAGTGTTAGTATGGAGAAGTTGATCCAGTCCTGAACTGAAAGAAAAGTTAGAAATAATTTTTTTTTCAATCTGACACTGGAGATACGTTTTGTTCATTGATGCTGTTAGTGTCCACTCCGCTGTCAGCCTGCAAGCCCTGTAAGCTGCTTCAGTTGTCATGGTCTTGGATTGGAGGAAAATCGTGCATTCCACAAATAGGCACTGACAACTCCTGAAACCTCACTAGATTTTCCTTATAACGTTGTCCTTAAAAATAAATCATAAAAACCGTTTAATCTTTAAGAGGTATTGGATATGGAACCCTAGATTCCAAAGGAGAGAAATTTGCTTAGTTTCGAATTTGAATAAATTCTCTTAAGGATAAATTCCCATTGATGTGGAAGGGGGGAAGAAGTCATTTAGCTAACTAAATTAAGATAAATCGATAGCATCTCTCATAGGGCAGGAAGGAATTTCCCTCTGCATAGCACATTAGGTACTTTAGAGGAGGGTTTCTTTGCCCTGGAAAATTGCCAGACTAACCATGAATTATTGCTACAGATGGTAGCGACTGTGGAAATGACAAACCCCGATAAGGTTTTTTTTTTTTTTTTCTGCTAAAACTAAGATTTGTATTGATGTCACCAGTATTTCCAAAACGAGATGCTCCTGTCACTGTTCTGAGGGTGAATTCTGGTGGCTGTACTTCTGGGCTAGTCACCATCTGAGGCATCACTAAATCCTCCTGGCATCAAGGCAGCATGGAACAAGAAGTTGTTCTTGCTGTCAATTCCTCATTTAGAAGGCGGAGCCACAATTAAGGTACAACTTCCTAATTGACCAGACGCTGCTTTCAAGTGGGCTGGAGTCCACCAAGTCTATTTTAAAAATTGTTTCAGGTTGGGCATGGTTCACATCTGTAATGTAAGCTCTCTTGAGGCCGGGGCAGGAGAATTGTCTTGAGTGCAGGGCCAGACTGGGTTACTAAACCTATCTTGGGACCAAATAATAATAATAAAGTGAAATCACTCCAGACTTTGTTGATTTTTCTATGTTTACAAGTTAGAGATTATCATAGCCAGTTAACAGGAAGGACTCAAGACTCAGCTCCTGCGCTGGGGATAAGATACAGGAGTAATGTGCTTGCCTCGCATGCATGGGGCACTCCTGGCTTATCACTGGCAACACAGAGAAACAACTACATTAAAAAAAAAAAAAAAGGAAACTTAACGTCGGGCCTGGGCACACACCTGTAATGTTAGCACTCCTGAGAAAGAGCCAAGACAATCACCAGCCAGAGCGACACTGTGACAGTCAGAGCCACAGCCCCTTATCTCCCTATAGCCACCCAAGGACATCTCAGTTTTGTCAATGGCCTTCATTAAGCTAATGGGGTAGGGTACTCATCTTGATTAGAGACGGAGCTTCAGCACAAGGGTTCTGCCTTCCCACAGAGAGCAGTAAATAAACCAGTCAAGATCTCTGGGGATGGCAGCCTGATGCCCGCCCCTCTCATCAAAGATGAGGCGGATCCGACTGCAAGGAATGGAGAAGCGGTAGCACGAAGGCTTTTCCTAGGGTCCGAGTCACAGTATAAACCATGTTTATTTGTTTACTTATTTAGCCCCCGTGAGTGCCTGTGTGTTTGAGTCTATGTATGTGCGTTATATGTGTTCAAGAGCCCAAGATAGGTCAGAAGAGGAGCTCTGGAGTTCCATGGGACTGTGAGTGGCGCTGTGGATGCTGGGAAGCCAATCTGAATCATCTGCAAAAACAGCAGCTGCTCTTCACTGATGAACTACTTCCCGACCTTGTCCTGATTGTTTTTGAGCCATGCATGGTTAACATCTTACGGTGTTGTCCCTGTTTTTTAGGAGCAAAAGCTGTTAGACTGACAGCTATCCTCATAGCATTGGGGCAAAACACACAGGGCGCAACACTGGGCCCTTCCCAGAGATAAAGAGCAGTTGCTAGAATCAGCCTTGGAAACTGACCAACATCTTAAGTGTATTTTAAACCGGCTTGTAGGTTTAATTTGAAAGTAGAAATGGTAGCTTCCACCAACTCAGAGAGTAAAATAGCCTAACCTACTTCCCCTATCCCCACCTCTGACACAAGACAGCCCAACAAAATTTAGATAAGAAATCCTTACATTTCTAGTGGAGTCCCATTAGAGTCAGAGAAGAAAACTGGGTGGGAAGAGGGGGATAAGAAACAGCAGTTCTTCTTCAACTCAAATTCCCCAGAAATATTTTTCCTAAAGTTATTAAAGCATTGGTAATTTTTGATGAATTTACTCTGTCCAAACGCTTTCTTTTGAGAGCCGCTTCATTAGAAGCAGAAGTATCCCATGTTGTGGGATAACA